TCATAATTTATTCCTTATATGCCACCCATCTGAATAGGTTGCTCCAGCCACTCGGGGCGGCTGCCAACAATTTATAAAACCACAGTAAAACATCAAACATTAAAAACTTCACTATACAGGGCTGCCTTCAGAGGTTTTCTAAAAGTCAGACACTGTCCTGTTCCGTTTGGACCAGTTTTGCTTATTTTATAATGGTTTTATCTTATTTTATATGATATTGTGGTAACCCATTCAGGGACCTTGTGGTAAAGAGTGGGCAAGATATCATATACAGCGGTACCTTGAGTTACAAACGCCTCAGGTTACAAATGCTTCAGGTTACAAACTCCGCTAACCTGGAAGAGTTACCTCGAGTTGAGAACTTTGCCCCAGGATGAGAATGGAAATCGTGTGCCAGCGGCAGCAAGAGGCCCCATTAGCAAAATCATGCCTCTAGTTAAGAACAGTTTCAGGTTAAGAACGGACCTCCGGACTGAATTAAGTTCGTAACTTGAGGTACCACTGTAAACAGTTTCCTCAGTTTCATGTACTCCTGTGAATCTAGGAAGCTTCTGAATCACCCCCCAAAAATATACTTCCTGTCTCACACTTAGGTCTTGATCCATGTTGTGAAGGTGCTTTCACCATGTATATAATAGCATCCTTGTAAAACTGCCAAACAGAGACTCTTATTCTTATTATTAGAATTTATATAGTGCCCTATACCCGCAGGTCTCAGGGCGGTTCACAAGATAAAATTACAATATAAAAACATAAGTATGCTTCTTTTGTTCCTTATTACAGTAGTTGTCACAGCTAATAATGTTGGATTATTATTATTATTATTAATTTTGCTTAACTATGAAATAGTTCCATTTCCTCCTTCAGCCAGAAACTTCTCTTTCTATCTCTTTATCCAGTATTAGTATTATTAACACAGTTCAGAACTCCAGGAGAGCTAATATAATTTCCCAATGAGCGTCATTATTTTTAGTCGAAAAGGGGACAGCTGACAAATTTTCCTAATTGTGGGAGGCTGATGTAACAAAGCTTGCATGGTTTGTAAAACAGTTCTTAATGCTATTGAAATGTGAAGCCAGTTATGCTTTGACTAGGTTAGACAATGTCATAAGGAAGCAGGATAAAATTGAGGTTTTGTCTGCTGTCCTCCAAATTTCCCTGTAAAAATTTGTGATGTCACAGTGGAAAACTAGCCTCTCACATGGAGATCTTAATAAGACCTATGCTTTCATATATGGGTGGAAAATCCACCCTATGGATCACAACAAACTTTCTAAGAATCCAGGAAGTTCCGCTCTCAGAAAGAAGCCGAAGGATATATGAGGCTGACTCTGAATTCATCTACAAGTAGGAAATGCATTGTTATGTGCTGTAATAACAACCAGAACAAAGCCTATATATGTATATATGAGGTCATAATCCACAAATTGCGTAAGCTTCCCCTCAGTCTTTTTTTTTTATTGGAGCTTTTTCATAATACATTACAATAAAAAGCAAACCAATCTAAACGAAAACAGAAAGAGAAAAAGGAAAAGGCAAAGGCAAATGCCAAGTCCTCTCTCAAAAGTAGCTCTTAACTCTTGTCTCACACAGAAAGTGGGGACCCTCCCAGCTCTCACCTGAGAGTTCTCCTTTATTCTTCCATCCTACCACCCTGGGAGATCTGTTCTGCCTCTCACTCAGGGTCCTTCACCAACCAACCATTCCCTTCATATGTGTATAATACCAATAGTGACTTAGAGTAGAGGACACTAAAAATGACAAAAAGAAAAGAAAAGGAAGAAGAAGAAAGAGGAGGATAAAAATAATGAATGAATGAGAGAAGAAAAGAGAAAAAGAAGAAAGAGAAATAAAAGGCCTTCCAATTCTCTGTCAGTCAGCTGCATACAAAAAATATATTCAAAGTATTCATTTCAGGATGACATCCAACTGTTCCTCCTTCCGCTAAGCAATATTTTCCCTATCTTCAGACCCAAACATCTCAAATTCATTCATTTTCCCTTCCACACAAAGACAGGGGCTGCCAGGCCATGGAACATCCCTGAATGGTGTCCTGGTGGGATTTCCCCATCAGATCTGAATCAATGGGGGCACACTCTCACCAGGATTGACCCTGATGGAGATATCAGCCAGTAACCAGGTTGACTGGACACATGCCCAATGCCTATGCAAAATGCAATCTACACTTGTAGTTATGGCCAGTGCTTTTTTCTAAAAAAAAAAAATGTTTAGGGGTACTCTCATTTTCCTACTCATATTGAAATACTGCCCTTCAATGAGGCCAAACTTAGATTAAAAAAAGTCTAGCGATATGCGTACCCTTGCATCCCCCAGAAAAAAGCACTGGTTGTGGCCATTTCAATTCCAAGTAGGCTTCATGTCTTTCTTACCAAATTTACACCCCCTTGGGGATCACTGGCTTGCTGTGCCCATGATGTAACTCTTTAAAAATAATAATCTTATTTCATGATTAAATATTTACTTCCCAGTTCCTCTCAGGTCATATTGTTGCACATTATCAGCTATTTATGGCTGAAGCAAACCATTATTTTCCTCATTATGTGTAGCCACAAGACAGTGATTCACCAGCCAGGGCTGAGACAAAATATGTTGCTGCTGAAAGTGAAAGCACTCCCCTGTTCCCCCAATTCCATGTACAGAAGTCAACTGGACTGCTAGCGGAACTATAGTTCACTGGTAATGGGACAGGAGGTAGCAGGAGAACTTGAAGGATGTAGGGCAGCCTACGTGGCACACACAGAGAGCTCTCTCCAGCTGCTTTCTTCTGCTCCCACACCCAGGACCTGCTACCTGAGGCACATACGTCACTCTACCTAATGGAAGGGTTGGTCTGATGAATCATGTGCCCACTTACCTCAAGGGCAATGCCAATATGTAGGGAGGTGGGTGGCGTTATCAATCCCTGGCATTTGCAGGTAAGGCTGGGAAAGACTCCTATTCCTATAAGTCAGCACAGAGAACCAGATATGGCCAGGAAAGTTCAAGCCATGCTTTTCCCACGAAAAGGCTTTGCCTTCTGTGCTTATACAAGTTGTATTCAAATTATCAGTGCTAAATATAGTGCCACATCAACATTTAGTCATTCACACTGTTCTTCAGAAATTAACATGTTACATACTTTAAATGTTTTCACATTATCCTAGATACAATAGATAATTTCTGATTGCAAAAGGGGAAAAAAAGATTTGCAAATGACATAATGTATTCTATATTTGAGTTTTATTTCCTCTTGCTTTTATCCTGAGCCAGAAAATTCCTTATCTATTGCATAGTAGTATATTCACTGTTTTCCATTTCTCTTATTCATAATATATTCTGGATTTCCAATGAGGTCACGCTAATGTTTCTTCTGATTGTGTTTTTGAAGTCTGCAAGAGAATGAAGTAGGAAAGGAATTTCCTGTGCACAGCATAAATGTCCATCAAATAATCCAATTTCCTCTTCAGTGATTACTTGTGAGTCCCAACTTTTACTCTGTGGTTTCTTCAGCAATTAAATTGTATTGCTTCTAAAACAGGAAGTGAGTCCACGTGTTTGTTTTTATGTGGCACTGTGGTTAAGCAAGGTATCTGGTTTCGGGATTTAAACATATAAAAGGCAAGCAACCCTTGGCTTCATTCATAGATTTGGATTCACAGTAGCCACACACCACTTCATGACAGCTGGTTACAGTTGAAAAGGTAAGGATGCATTTTGTTTTTCTTGCACTTTGTGACTGTGTATTAACAGGTGCATCCAAGATGATGCTGGTAGTGTAAAATATTGCAAAAGTAATAGGACAACCCTAAGGATATTGGTCCAGGAGGTATCCAAAATGTTTAAAACTAATACATTTTTCTCTGTGTAGCTATTAAAACTGTCAGTGATAGCCTTATGATTTAAATACATCAGGGAAGTATAGAAGTGATCCAGAATCACTTCAGGTCTGCTGCACTGTTACAGTGAAGCTGTTTGTGGCTCACGTTCCTTAACATTTTGTAACTTCAAGAAGGCACACTCAGGTAATCTGACAGGCTATTAATCTATGTAAATAAGTGGCTAACAAAAGAGATAAAAGTGTAATATTATTTTGTTGGAGATGCTTTCACTTATGCTACATACGCTCTTCCATAATGGTTAGTTATGTATATTATTAAACTTTGTTATATAAAAAGAGCACTGTGTGGAGGGAGAGGAGAGGGGAGATTGTTCCATCTGGTAGTAAGTAAAAATGCTTACACTGATGAAATGATTATGCTAGTGTGATTGTGAATTCCATGCTATGTGTTTGGCTAATATAGAAGTCTCTATGTGCAGTCTATAAACACTTGAATGTAAGTTGATGGGCACCCTAATCCAGCAGCATCCTAAACGGAATTGGTTTATCCATTGTCTTGGAAATTTCCTAAATAGTCTTTTAAAACACATCTTCATTAATCAATAAATTTTTCTATTTTTATTTTTAGATGCTGCTTACAATGCAACTTTTTAAAAGCTTTATTTTAAAGCACTTATTCAAAGTACTGTTTGCAGAACTGAACAAGAAGTAATTTTTATGATAAATTGGATAAAATACTATTTAGCACATCAGTGTATTTTATGCAGATCATCCCATTTTAGACCGAATTTTATCCTAAGCCCACATCTAGTGCATTTTTCTGCATAAAGTCATTTACACTATGCAGATCACCCAGACATCTTGTTTTAGACTGAATTTTAGCCTGTGTCTAGTGCATTTTTGTGCGTAAATTCATTTACACTTGTGTTTCAATATAAGTAGGCACTTCAGTCCTTCACCATTACATTAAAAAACGGTATTCTGCTCAGTTGAGTCAGCCAATGAAATTGAGGGAATGCCTCAAATAAATAAAGCCATGAATTTTCACAAGCCATAGTTTACAAATATCTAGGCCACTTATGTCGCGTCCTTTACTAGTGCGATAACCAGTCATTCATCACTCCTTTCTTTATATAACTTTTTATGTTCCTTTCATTCACAGATGGCATGCCTTTTGCTCATTCTAATTTCTGTCCTGGGCCTGATTATTCATTCAGAAGGAAAAGCAGAAGAAATAAACAATAGTGAGTAATCTGTATCAGCAAGCTGAACTAGCATTTTCGAACTGTATAACCAGAATCCAAGGCACCGTGGCGTCTTCTGCATATGCCCCGTGGCTTATCAGCTGCAGCAGCCAGTGATTAAAGATTGGGAGACCTCTGGAAAGAGGCTTCAGAGATTGCCCTTGGGAAGTGTAAAACAAGCTGATTCATCAGCCCCAGACCACAACACAGCTATCCATCTGATTACTCACTTCATGCAGTTTCAGTTCAAAATATGTGTAAAAAATTATGGGGGAAATGTGTTCAGAAAGCGTATTTCATGGAGAACTACACTGAAAAGCAAAGGGGGAAATGTTTTAGGGGGAGAATGTATGTAAAATTTGTACAGAATGCATACAATTTACATGCATTTTTTAGTCCACACAAAAATGGAGCAAAACTGGTCCATAACGTGGAAATGAAATAGACTGACCCTTCTCTCCATACATATACTAACCCTAACCATAAGTAAAGGTAAAGGTAAAGGGACCCCTGACCATTAGGTCCAGTCGTGGCCGACTCTGGGGTTGCGGTGCTCATCTCGCTTTATTGGCCGAGGGAGCCGGCATACAGCTTCCGGGTCATGTGGCCAGCATGACTAAGCCGCTTCTGGCGAACCAGAGCAGCGTACGGAAATGCCGTTTACCTTACCTAAATACTAGGAGTCTACAAAACTATATGAGACAGCCCTGGAAGTTTCTGCAAGTCTAATGTAAGAGCTGACATCAAAACTACTCAATTCTCTATTCACAGTTCTCTGTGAAACCAAAAGTGTCAGTCCATTTCAATCAGAGAACAGAAAGGCTCATAGCGGACTCTATACAAGCAGCAAACCTCAGAGAGTCTGAGTAGCCAGTTCACACACAAAATGAAAGGAGGGGAAAACCTGAACAAGATATCAAGGGTATAATAAACATTTGTTCATGTTTATTCATCCTGCAAAATAGACAAATTGGTTTCCAAAAGTATTATTCATTATTTATCATTTATTAAATTTGTATACTGCCCCATACCTGTAGATCTCAGGGCGGTATACAAATGAAAGGCCAGTTTTGAAAAGCTTTTGAAAAGTTTGCCAATGAAGTAAAGAGCAGAATAATTTTAAGTGTTTATCATAATCGTAAAAAGTCTAGTGCATTGCAATGCAGCATGTTTGAATCTGTATTGTTTCCCAGAGAAATGAAACCTAAAATGTCATTCACTGTAATTTCTATATTTCCAGATACTCCTCTTCTAAGGTAATATGATTTCGCATAATTAGGAAAAATCAGTGTTGGGAACCCATGTTTGCTCTAGTAACATGTAGTTCTGATCTGCACCAAGTAGTAAGATGATTTTTACCACACATCAGCTTGCAATCCGTAGCAATACGGTGTAGCAGAATGGATGAAAAAAAAGTGGTCTGTCTGTGAAGTGCACCTTGACTCCTTGCTTGTTACAGCAGGTAGATGAGGAGGATTGATGAAATAAATGAAGAAAAGTAGTGGCTGTCTCCTCACCTGACTGGGAGACAAATTTAAATATGCAAGAGGGGATTTCTGGGTTGCAACTTCGGAATGTACACAGCATCAAGGTACCCTGGCTGCCTTTTCCCAGGAGCCAAGGTGCATAGTGGCAAGGAAGAGTGGAAACTCATCCTGTTTTATTCTCCAGACATACAGCAGTAGTTTCCTCACACGGAATGAACACCATTGCAGTGGAAGATTCTACAGCTAAGTGTCTGTGAAAGTAATTTACAGTACTTGTGTTTTGTAAAGACAATATGTGCAAACAAACCATGGAATTTGAATTTTACGCCACAAAGGGGGTGGGTATTCAGATGGACATTTTCCAAGCTGTAATTTAACACATTCTGCACCTCAGTACTTAGTAAGCTGGTTGTCTGTAACACCTTGCCAAATGTTTTTTTTTTTAATTCCGAAAAGCAATGTGGGCTAAAAATGTTGGTTGACATCCATGCAAAGTATTCTCATTGGCCAGAAATATGCTAATCCAACTAGACACCCATCAGCACAACCTCATGAAATTCCTCTGAAGCAGCTTCCTTCCACCCACTGATTCAGATGGACCGCTTAAAGCAGTGATGGCCAAACTTGGCCCGCCAGCTGTTTTTGGACTACAACTCCCATCATCCCTAACAGGACCAGTGGTCAGGGATGATGGAAACTGTAGTCCCAAAACAACTGACAGGTCAAGTTTGGCCACCACTGGCTTAAAAGAAAACCACCTCTTCATATGTATGTGCTTCTTTTGGTCTAAGTTTCCATTTACGTCTTTCAATTATATCAGTAAATCTAAAAATGAAGTTGATTTATTAGTATTTTCCAGGAGGACGGTACCTTTCTGTTGGGCTCACCATTCTTTCCTTTCCACTTTTCCTTTTTGCAATATTCAGTGCACTTTGTTGAAGCCACAGCACTACCTGAGAAAATAACGCTCACCTGCAATACATCTAAGGAGCCAAGTGCATTGGTTTATTGGGTGAAAAATATGAAATTGGAAGGAAATGGCAAGAGTTTGGAAAAAACCATCCGGGGATACCCAGATGCTGGCAAATACGTTTGTAGGAGCAACACCACAGATGCTATTTTAAGTTACAGTACCGTGTATATTAAGAAGAAAAATGACAACGGTGAAGTAGCTGAGTCAATTCTCAGTCCTTTCAAAGGTAAGCCTGTGCGCAATCTATTTTAATTATATACAGAATGCCCATCAGTACTGCTATGTAAGAAGCAAGGTGCAAAAAAATAAGAAAAATGATTCTGCCATTGTTGACTATTGTATATCATTAAACAGGCAGCTCAGCAGCATGATACTAGGTATGCCCTCCAACCACAAGATTCAGTCTGGATCCTGATTTGGTGCTTCAAAAGGCAACATGCTTTGATTCAGAGCACTTGGGATGCCCTTGTTGGAAGTATAGATTTTTCACTTTCTGAAATATGGCAACCCTAGATTACATGCAAATAGATTGAGGGTGTGTGTGTGTGTGTGCTGGGCGCCTTTCAATTTTGATATATACATTTAATTTTAAGGAAATTTATATAAGTTTTAAAAAATTGGGGGCAGAATTGAATTAAATTGACAGCTGTGGTAATCCCTTTTTAGGGGATGAAGCCTACCAAAATTCAGGTGGATAATCAGCAGTTTTCTACAGTTTTGAGGCAGTTTTTTAAAAAATCACTTAATCTTCCTCTTTGTCTCATGGCCAATTTGTATGAAAATGGCACATATGAAAGAAATACCCTTAGATAAGAAACTTGCTAAATTACAGATAGATAGGCTCAGGGTTTTTGTGTAAAGTACCTTTTAAAATTTATTTTGGTCCTGTCAGTTTATCAGTAAAAACTGGTTATGAATTTAGTAGCTATGAGTAGCTACTAGGACCTGTTTTTCCATCATCTCCCATTCCCATCTCACTCAAATGAATGCTGCTTTTGAAACTTTGTGTAACTGTACATGTTCTAAAATGTGTTGTCTGTTTTGCTGCTCTTAGATGTGTTAATTCTTTGTTTCATTCTAGAAGAAAGCAACAGACCCTACTTCAAATGTACAGCAAACAATTTCTCTGGGGACTTCAAGTGTTTCTGGAAACCACTCGAGCAGAATTCAAATTTGAACTTTACAATTAAGTAAGATACTGTTCTTCCTCCCCCCGCCCATATTGTTTCAAGCAACATTTCGTAGAGAATAGGCCCAAGAAATTATTGTACTCTTGAGGGTTAGGATGAAGCTTTTGTGGCAGAGAGTGCCAACTCACCCATTAATTAAATAGATCTATAGGATAGAGAAAATACCATTTTCAGTGTCTTGGTGCTTCTTGGGATATTATTTTACAATAACTTCTGAGTTAGGAAGTTGTGCTTAGAACCTCACAGGGCTTCCTTTTATTTCCAAATCTCTTCTCCTAGATATTTCAATGAGAGTGAGAAATCTGGTAAATGATCGCAAGCGGCTAATTGCTTTAGAGGAAGTATTTTTTTGGGGGGGGGGACTTAATTTGATTGGAAGATAATAAGCTAAAAACATTTTGCAATAGCAATGATTTTCTGAAACAGTGAGCCTTGTAGCACCTTAAAGACTAACCTTAAAGTTTATTGTGTAATAAGCATTTACATTTGTGAGTTAGAGGCTGCTATCATATACACAAAGTCTTAGCCTCAGTATAATATTGAGAATTGTGACTAGTGGGACCAAAAGACTACAAAACACAAGGTATACCATCTCTATGGGATATCAATTCAAAGCTCAACTATGTACAGTGGCTATTCAGAACCCAGTATCTTCCCAGCTTTGTTGTGTTAAAAACTGTAATCAGAGATAAATCCCTGGTTCCAACTTAATAGAATCAAATCTACTGAAAATGTGAGCAAGCAATTCCAAGACACTAAAATTCCACCAAATACACTAAGCATTTATTTATACAGGTGCCATTTATATAGTGTACCCATTACTGTTCTGATGTAGGTGAGGGTGTTCTCTCAGTTCATTCATGTTATAGCCACCAACACAGCAGCTGCCTTTATGAGCACATAGTCTAAGGAATGCAGAGGACACAGGTGCAAAATGAGCTCATAATAACTTTGATTTAAACTGCAAGCGGAAGACCATTTTCACCAGCGAGGGAGCTCACCCTAAAATAGATTATTAGTAGATTGTGAGTCAAAGAAATTGACATGGCAAACCAGATATTATGAATTTCTATGCCATTGCTCTTCTGTTGCTGAATAGCAATGAAACTCACAGAATGTTCTGGGAAATTGAAAGGTTTCCTTGCCAGCTTCTGAAAGTTGCCATTTCTGATGTCAGATATGCAGTTATGTATTCTTTACAGCAGGAATGGGAAACTTCTAGCTCTCCAAATGTTGCTTTAGGGCATAGAGCAGGGATGGGGTGCCTTTGGTCCTCCAGATGTCATTGAGCTACAACTCACATCATCCCCAGACTGTTCATGCTTGTCAGAGCTGTGCTTGTCAGAACCAATGGGAGTTTAGCAATGTTTAGAAGGCCAAAGGCTTCCCATTTGTGGTGTAGAGACACTGAATTGAAGATGGAAATTGTTGGCAGATGGTAGATGATGCGACCACCCACAAAGAACTTCCTCTTGCCAGTATATCTCCTCTTAGAGGATGAGAAGGTGAATGAGCTAATGGTGGTATGGCTGATGTTGTCAATTGTGTTCCTTGAAAGGATATGAGGACAAAGTCAGCATCTTAGTTTCTGGCACAGCGTAGTTCCTTGTAAAGGATGACATACTTTATACAAATAGGCCCTAGTCCATGAAAACTGATGACGCAATAAATCTGACCTATTAGTTTTTGAAGTGCCAGAATACTCTTTCCTGCTGTATATTAAATTGGCTATCCCTCTGAGGAAATATTTTCTGAATACCTGCCCTGCATTAATGTGTTGCTGCTAAGGTTGGGAAATAGAGTTACAAAGTCATTTTTCTAAATTTGGGAGGAACTACCCATTCAATTCCATCTCTGTTTTGAATTCAGAGTCACATCAGGAAAAGCAGTCTGTGATGAGCCAGTCGGACCAGAGGCAGGAATGTACACTGCTTCCTGCAGAAAAGGAATTCCCTGCCCATCCACTGAGGAGTACGAAGAAATTGGGATTGTTCTAGAGGTTTTCCATGGATTTGAATATGAAGAACATACTCACAACTTCTTCATCAAAGATATTCGTAAGTTATGCAAAAAGGTTTGGAATGAGGGTAGTGGTGGTGGTGAATAAATCACCGTAAAAGAAATTGGGCTGGATCCAGAGCAACATATTTGAACTTAGGTCTCATTGAAATTATTAGAACTTCACTGTCATGATTAACTTGCTGTATTGATTTCAGTGGGACCTAAGTTCAATTAATTTACTCTGCCTCTTGTCCACAGTAATATATAATCCTTCATCTGTAGCACATAGTGTTTTGGCGCTAGAAGGCAGCATGGGTTTTTCCATGAACCATCATTGAATTGCATCCTGATAAAAGGACTCTCATCTCCAAATCAATTTAAAAAGCAGGGTGGGGGGTTTAGTAGTATTTTGAAATAAGAACAACCCACTATAAATAATGACATGGGAATAAATAAATAGATATACAAATTTAGTGATTCCACATAAAGAGTGCTAAACAACCTAATTTGAGCAATCGTTTCTACATCTGGAAGGGTTTACTAACATACCTTTATTCACATACTGAATCCATTAGTTGATTCCTTATAAAACTTTCCCCATCACTTTTGCTCATATAGTAATAGTGGTTAAAAGGGTGTAAAATGTCAGGCACATCACTTGCTCTACAACATACTTGAGTCATTTGGTGTGGTGATTCTGATCTTTTCTAATGATTATTGAGAGGCCAAACCCCACCTCTGTTAGATGCCAGGGAGTAAGGCACACCCAAATCCAATAAAGAAACAAGGAAATGCAAAAACAAATAATTCTTGACCTCAGTAACCTATTAGTAGCTTTTAATCTGCACTTCCGCTTGAGCTTGAAAGGAATAGATGAATCACTAAAGAAAGGTTTGCCAACCGTAATTATGTAGGCTATTCATAGCTTCCGTATTATTACTGCTAATTAGTATACTGTTCTAATGGTTACATTGTTGTAAGTTAATTGTAAGACGGTTAGTGGTGCACAGTGTGGTTAGAGAATTCCTCAAGCATATGCATATAGTTTGCATCCAACATTCATTCATTAAGCCTTTATTGGCATAATTTAGACAATAAAAATCATTTTTTAACAGGAAAAGAAAACATCCATAAAACATTGGTAATCCAGACATATTAAACACATAAAACATATAAAAGACTCAGAAGCCACCATTAAGTAAAATTAAGTACTTTTAAATTTGACTTTAAAAATCTTGACTAAAGTATCCTGAAACAATTTCAGTAGAGATTATTGAGTAGTGATAGAGTATTGGACTAAATTTAGGTCCATTCTCCAGACTAATTTATCAGTGAGAATGTGATCTCATAATGGTCCCCTATTTCCAGTTCTATACTTCTGTTCCTATGATAGTGCCTAGCATAAGAAAGGAGAAGAAAAAACAGTAGGTTAATCTTCCTCATTAAAGCAGTTAGGGGCCATTTCTCCAGCTACAGTCTTTTATTGCTGCAGTTAGAAAAACAAAATAGTGGTGTGTTTTTCTGATTCCTATGATTCCCTTTTGAAACATTTGTATTTATGCACTAAATCTAGACCTCGGCTCATGAGGGAGCACTCAGGCAATGCTCAAAAGCCTTGTCTTCCATCTATGACCACTAAAAACAGTCACTACTGCATAGTCCTATTCCATAGCTGGGAAAAGTCTGGAACTTGAATGAACATTGACAGATGCAGATGAGCACATTCCCCATGTGTTTTCACTTGACTTCACAGTACTGTAAAAATCAAATTTAATATCTATATGTGGAAGGCTAGACTGCCATTAGCCACTGCCATTAGTCACCAGTGGTCACCTGAGACAAAAAAAGTTGGGTGTCACCCCCACTCTCCGAGTGGTAGCAAGATTCCAGGGGCTTCCAGGCACTCATCCAAGGTTTGCGCTCCTTTGGAGAACTGAAGACGCGGCAGAGACTTTCGTAGCTTTAAGAAATATTATTTATTCACATACTGTATTTGCACGTTCAGTCTGCATGCAGGGAGTCCAGATCTCACAGCAAGGTCATTTAGCACCATAGATCTATTACAATATCAATGTAACAAATAAATAAATAGATTTCCTCACTTGTCCTGCAGCCCTTAAAAGCAATGGTAGCTTTTGGGCAATGGCATGGTGGCCACCAATGATAAAGGTAAAGGGACCCCTGACCATTAGGTCCAGTCGTGGCCGACTCTGGGGTTGCGGCGCTCATCTCGCTTTATTGGCCAAGGGAGCCGGCATACAGCTTCCGGGTCATGTGGCCAGCATGACTAAGCCGCTTCTGGCGAACCAATGATACTGCTACCTTAAATGAAGGGACAAGATGTAGTCAGATAGCTTTCCCTGGATAGCAGGTCCTTCTGCTAAGCAATACATTCCTAGGCTTTAACAGGCAAGACCTCATTTCATTTGCCCATTTCACAGCATTGTTGGAGGTTATACTTGCACTTACAGATTTTCGGCGTTTCTCAGTTGCTTCTTCTTTGGTGGCCAGGGTAGCAAACAGATAACACATATACAATACACGTATGTGCACACGCACACACACTCCAGCCTTAACATATCTGGAGCCTCAGAACTCATCCAAATAATAAATGATAAGGATACTGGTGGAGGCATAAAGCCTCCACCAGTATCCTTAGTATAGTATACAGTTAAAAATTATGCTGATCTCATTACCTCTTTCAGTGAAGCCTGATGCTGTTGAGTGCCAAATGGAGAACAGCCTATTGACTTGGACACCACCCAAAACCTGGAGCACTCCGGCTAGTTACTACAAGCTGACATACCAAATCAAGATGGTTCAGCATCCACGGAGAGACTGGGTAATTGGTGTTTTCCCTTTTATTATTATTATTTTTGAAATTTATATACCGCCCTATAGCTGGAAGTCTTAGGGCGGTTCACAGAACAAAATCAAAATATAAAACCACAAAATACATAATTGAAATAAAAACAACAGCCCAATAACCCTGCTCCCCATCCAACTTTAATGTTCAACCCTCATTCTATCATGGAACGAAACAACTGAAGCTATAAACTGAGGAACTGAGAGAATGGGGATATAAATGAACTTGGTGGTCTTATAGGCTATCACAGACATATTTACATTCTTGCTGTATTAGGCACCCAGATCCATTCAGTCTTACTTTTTATTTGCCTTCCAGCACTGTTCATCCAGATGCAATTAGGATGCTCACAAACAAGGAAGTTGCTGTTCCTTCTTTTTTGTTTATTCACAGCTGTATATTCAGAGGAACATTGCATCACAGCACAGCACACAGTCTAAAGATATTTCACCCTCCCTTATTGCTGATTTCTCCAACAATGGGATCTGGCAATAATGGTCCAACACTGTGAGCCCGCTGCAATGTGGAAGCGGCGGGCTCCAGTGGGTGAGTGCCTCCCCAGTGTGCGCTCCCCTGGCACACACCCCACATTCCCCCCACATGAGCGTGCACCACCAGCGCTTGTCAGCCCTCCCCTGGCAGTGATTGGGGATGCTATGCTGCTGAACCTCACCACCTATCCTCATTTTCAGTTTATAGCAAGGATGGAGAGTCTGTGGTCCTTCCATCAGTCATATCAGCACGGTCAATGTTCACAGATGATGGAAGTTGTAGTCCATCAACATCTGGAAGGCCACAGGTAGACTAAATACAGTGGTACCTCAGGTTAAGTACTTAATTCATTCCGGAGGTCCGTTCTTAACCTGAAACTGTTCTTAACCTGAAGCACCACTTTAGCTAATGGGGCCTCCTGCTGCTGCCGCGCCACCACTGCACGATTTCTGTTCTCATCCTGAAGCAAAGTTCTTAACCTGAAGCAATATTTCTGGGTTAGCAGAGTCTGTAACCTGAAGCGTATGTAACCTGAAGCGTATGTAACCTGAGGTACCACTGTATATGTTTGCGTGGAGGAGGATAGGAATATGGTGGCACATTGTATCACTGACTATCCCTGCCTGCAAATTATAGGCACAGATGTTTGCCTGCTCCTTTGGGGATCCTTTCTAGTTCACTAAAGTGGTCTGTGCTTTTGTTCTCAGATTTGTGAGGTTGACAATGCTATGCAGCTTCAAGATGGAAACTCCTTAAGCTGCCACAACAGATTGTTCCATCGTGGAACAATTTATATCCGTTCCAGGGAACACTATAACAGAAATTCAGCTTGGAGCGACTGGTCTGAGCCTTGCAGGTATCTGGTTGAATACACAATTGATTTCAGTGACTGAAGTTGTTTTGGTGGTTATACGGATGTATTTTGGGGGCTCTTGTCTGCATTTAATTCAAAACTTGTGGTATATACTTTATATTGATAAGGAAATCTGAACTTATATGAGGCCTGGAGAAGCTCAGATGTGTACAAAAGTTTAGTTCAGTTAACCTTGTAACAAAACCTGCTCCATGGAAGCCTACCTCCACACACTTATTCTCTTAATGTTGCCTCTTTCAACAAGGCAGATAATTCCTCCTGATTTATGATGGGAACACATACAGAGCCACACTGAGGCCATGTTTGGGCTTGCTGTTTTGATATGTATGGGTGTTTGTGTAAGAAGGATGTTGGTTTAGGCATCCGCACCTGCATTATCATTATCCCATGTCCTCCTGTTTCAAAGCCTTCCAAATGGCTAAAGTTTCCAGTGCCCTATTATCCTAGACCAGAAGTAAAGAACTTTTACAGACCCTTTCTGGGGCCACATGCAAGTGGTGGGCTTGGCCATAAGGAAAAGTGGGACAAGCAATGGATGTGATTCCTACCTTTGGAGAGTAGGTTGCGTCACACAAAAGCTAGAGGTTTCTATACACACATATGCCTCCATCCTTCAGGCAGGAAGCAAGAGCCATTTTTACAATTCAAGGCAATTAGGCAAAAGCACTTCTGTTAAGTTGCAGAGAACAGCAAGATAGAGAGAACTGGAAGACTTCATTCAGCCCCCGAACCTGAAGTTTTCCCTTTTTGGAGCATTGGCAGACAATACCCCTCCTTTGTTGTGGTTTTCTCCCTTCAAAGGGAAAGGCAGAGTTGGAGGTGGCAGCCATCTCTCTGTTTCTGGAAAGGAAGTACTGGGAGAGCCTTCAATCCAGCTTCTCTGAGTGCTGGATATGGTTCAACTTTCAGTTTCTCTCCACCTCCACTTCTGCTCTGAACATTGAAGGTGGTATAATTCAGCCATCATTGCACAATGACTGTGTGTACTCATCCCACTAATGTATCTGTTGGTCAGACTGGTTCTGCAAGTTATCGGGTGCCTCTGAAAGAAATGAACGTGTCATACCATCTTGAAAAACCCTCTATCCAAGCTGGATGTGCTTTCTCTTTTTATAGTAGGGAGGGTATTCATGCTTCCCATGACTTACACTACTTATAAGTAAATGTATATATGATTGCACAGTTAAGAAAGATCCATCATAACATTCTCATGACCTCTGCAAGGTATCAGATTAAAAGCCAGGGAAGAGAAAGAACATAATATGAGCAGAGAAAACACAGAATGATCAAATTTTCATGTAGCAGGAATGCTGCTTTAACAATGGTATTTGTCTTCAATGTTTCATTTTACTTTTCAGAAAGCAATCTGGCAAGCAGGACATACGCAATAATGAAGATGGAATTAAAATTAGGCAATGCGAGTGTAAGAAGAACTGAAGCAGAAGTTGACTGAAGAAATGTGTTTAATGAAGTACTATTTATTATTGGCTGTGGAAACCAATTAATATTACTAATATAATTTATTGTAATTAATTTATTATTAATAAAATTATTATTATTTATCATTTTTTAAAAATTGTTTTTATTAAAGATTTTCTTGGGTTACAAAAGTACATACAACATCTCTGCTTCCTACAGATCAGTTCTATTCAATGTGAGACACTGATGTTATAGACAGGTTGGCAGAGAGAAAGCTGGGCAGGGAGAGAAGGGGGTGGTAAACTTTCATTATTTTACATAGTGTATGTGTGTGAGGTTTTTGTGTCAGCATCATGTGGGTAGGTTCTCTTTCTATTCATTTATCAGTTTTCATTGGTGGTGAGTGATATGGAGTGGGGACAGGGCATGGCTGGTTGCCTTCAGTTGACTGCAGTGAGTTTTGCTTACGTGTGTGAGGGGGAGGGGTTGTTAGGTCAAGTTTTATATTCGTATTCAAAACAACTTTTGAAATTGAATGGTGCATTTATCAGTTCTTCTGGCTCTCAGGAAGAGCAGAGTTTAGACTGCAACACATTCCTCCTGGATTGAGCACCTTTCCTAAAGACAGTGGAACATCATAATGGATGCAAAGGATACTTTCTCAGCTACAGAAATACTGAGAGCGAGTTCCATTGGAATCCACTATGCTTTTGAAAATGTGCTAAGCATTTGTGCCTTCAATTATTCTGTACCAGCCATTTTGATTTTTTTGATTTTTTTAAACATGTAACCAGGAACAATAATAAGAAACTGAATAAATGACAAGCTATTTTTTAATGAAATGATGATGATGGTCACCGGATGGTCTCTGCATGTACAAATCAACACATGGAAGGGGGAATGGAGCTCCTTATGAGATTATGCCCTGCAAAATGGAGGGCTAGAGGCCATGATTCTACCACCACCACCACCATACTGCTTCTGTCTATGGTATCGGTCTATCTATCTATCATCTATCTATCTATCATCTATCTATATCTATCTATCTATCATCTATCATCTATCTATCTATATCAAGGATTGGAAACATTTGGCTCTCCAAATGTTGCTGAATTACAATTCCCATCCACCTTAGGGCCAATAACCAGGGATAATGGGAGTCACTGTTCATCAACATCTGGAGGGCCAAATATTCTCCATGCCTGTTTTAGAGTATAACCCAGAAGATAGGGCCTGTATCTTAACAACTATTTTCTTATTTAAATTAGTTTGAGACAGATATGAATTATCATTGATTGCAAATGCAAGATAATTAATAAACTCCTGCAGCCAAGCTAGTGCCCAGGACTTCCATACACACTGCCCAGTGACTTTGGTGCTGCTAGCGCAACGGTTTGTTGTCACCCCTGGAGGCATACTCCATTGTCTTTCGAGACAGATGGATGCCAACAACAACCATTGGTAGGGACATAAACTCAAAAAAAAAAAAAGATTTCCATTTCAATATTTTCAGAATATTTTTCCTATATCTGTTCATATTTATTATGTAATTATGAATTTAGATGTGTATTTATGCATGCTTTTAGAACTTTTCAAAAATGTTTTTTTTAAAAAAACACCGATGTTTAAGGAGCATCTGAATAGAAATGATGAGTCCTTTGCAATGACATATCAAATTGGAAAATAATTGAATAATAGAGTACATTCGATTATTATTATTCTTAGAGTTGATATTCAAGATTTCCCTTCAGAAGCAACCCAAAACAAAAAAGTTTACTCTGAAGGAGCAGACCAGAATACCCTGCATTGTAGTTCCCATTGCATTGAAGCCATTCCCGCTGAGTATATGTCTAATTCCATTCCTGCAATAAATGGGCTGCCTGCCAGTTACCATGAGGCTCTGCCACTGGGATGGGAAAAGCAAAAGCAGGAAGCAACTACAGATGTGTTGACTTTTGTTTAATGAACAAGCAGGTTGTGGAACTGCAGCATTCTCAATATCCAGCATGCAAGATCAAGTAGAATTAGTCAGCACAACCAAAAGTGATATTTTCATGGAGTACATGGGCCAGGGTGTCTGTATCTCACTTTTCCACAAGAAGCTCTAGAAAAGAAATCAGTGTTAAACAGAAAAGCATCACTGAGAAGCTCTGGAAGAACAAACCATTATTGACCACAATCGAACACTGGGCTCAAACAGTGCCTAATTCTGTGTTCAGTTGGAGCTGTTCTAAGTTTTGCTAGATAATGATTAACATGAAAGAGACTGGATCCTTTGTGTTTACAGTACATGAGCACTATGCACATCTGCAGACTCACAAATCCTGAACTGTAAAGAACACAGGGCATTCTTTCATCAACATCCCATTCCCACATAATAAAAATAAACTTGCATAAAGCTGGCTCTGGCATAAGTATTTGTAACTTCTTTACAAAACATGCTGCATCATATACACTACAAGCACCAAATATAACCATCAGCACCACAAATTTTAATCAGCGGCCATTTTTTTATCAACTTGAAAAACAAAAAACATCTTCTCATCAGAAAAAAATGGCATATGTGAACTTCAGCAGCTGTTATCACGGTATTTTAACAGTGTCAACATACTATGACAATTTGGTTTCTATGAAAAGAAACAACTGAACAGGCCTTTTTTTGAGAGTACAGTAGAATAAAATTCCTTCAGTTCCTCTTTAGAGCCATCTATTTTCTTTCCTTTTATGGAATGAAATCTCAGCTAGTCTGGAAACTGACCACTGGAATCTGCGGCTTTGTGGTATTGTTCCCAGACCTAGAACCTAGCTCTTTTAAAGCTTGTTACATGATAAGCCAAAATGCCCCGGAATATAAATTACATACCCTCCAACATTTCTCCATTGAAAATAGGGACATCCCATTCCATAATGATAATTTTACTGCTTATACCCCACATATCTTACTGGGTTGCCCCAGTCACTTTGGGCAGCTTCCAACATATATAAAAACATAACAAAACATTAAACATAAAAAACTTTACAGGATTGCCTTCAGACAGCTCAGCATTTCTCCAATGAAAATAGGGACATTCTAAGGAAAAATGGGACTGGGGCGGCTTCTCTAAATCAGGGATGTCCCTGGAAAATAGGGACACTTGGACAGGCTGAAATTATCAGGTGTTAACTTTCAGAGACATGGCCAGTTAGTGTTAAAAAACATTACTGCTTGCTGATTAACTGCAACCTCACCTCATAGCTTTGCCAAGAAAACATGTATTCTTGTAAGTTTTGCCATCTGAGCCACAAACAAATGACTCAACTGGTGGGCACACAAAATAATCTTCCTTTGGATTTATGATGCAGGATCTCTGAAAATTAAAAAAGACAATATTAATTAGGTGTAGTATCTTATGGCTGATGCTAATGTCTCTGTCTCATTCACTGATGCCCCCTTGCCCCACCTCTATGAGCTTACTAGGGAATGGCACTGTCAAGGAGGGAAACTGTGAAGATGGGTCCTGACAGACAGCCCAGGGCTTAAACCTATAAAGCACCTGCAGAAATAGACATCATCTGAATTCCTCCAGAAAGCTTCTGGCCTCTGTGTCCAGGCCCAGGGGCACCCTGGGGAAATTATGGTGATAGTGACTGCGACCATCTCAACCTGCACTCTTCTTCAGAGCACCAGGCCATTACAAAAGTTGTTTTTTAAAAGGATGCTAGTGTCAGCAGCAAAAGCTCCCCTAAAGCCCTTAGCACTAATATAGTGACAAATTTAGAGGTTCAAGGTCTCTTCATGATAGTCACGCACCCCAGAGCCCAGAGAGGCTTGTTGAGGCTGCTCAGGTGAGGTGAGCCTTCCATGCCTCAGCTGAGTAGTTTAACCAGCCCCCACAGTGCCTCTCCAGCTTGTGTGAGCCAGATCAGTGGGGTGGGGGGCTTGCTCAGGTGAGGCACAGAGAGGCTTCCACATCTCAGGTGAGCAGCTTACCGAACTCCCTCCCCTGTGCAGCTTTTCGGTTCGTGGTTCGAGACTCAGCAAAGCCCCTCTGTGCCTTCAGCTCATGAGGAGATCCTGTCTGCAGCACCTAGAGGATGTCCCCTTTGGGCTCTGGGGAGGGTCTCCTCATGAGCCGGAGGCACAGAGGGGCTGGTCAGGTCTCTGCCCCCATTTCCAGAGCCCAGCTGAGAGGTGCTGGAAAAAAGCACCTGTCACAGCCATGTCACCTCAGAGCCACACAACTTCTAAGATTATGCAACCTACTAAGATTATACAAGAACATTACAATCACACAACAACAACAACAACAACAACAAGGGATTCGTGGCAATGCTTGATGCAGATCTCTGTGTGTTTCCTTTCAGCTAGATCAACCATTTTCTGTGCAGGTCCATGGGGAAATGATTTGGAGTGCTCCAATATCTTCTTTCAGAGTGACGTCAGCTGTGTTTTCTGCCATGTTCTATTGTGCATAACAGAACTTGCACACCATTCTCTTGAAACAGAAGCGCCTTGTGTTTTCAGTGTTGATAAAAATATTTAGCTTTGGAACATAACAGCACCTAAAAACACTTATGTCCCTGTGGAGATGGCAGCACTGAATCAGTGGTGCATGCCCTCCTGGCATGCACTCTTTACAAAGACCTGAGGAACAAAATTATCACCCCTCTTTTATTGTCCATTCCAGGTCGCCCAACCACTGCCACAGTGTCTTTTCCCCTGGCAGATCAAGAGGAGCAGATGACAGCAAAGGGCACAAGGTTTTTAGCTGGGGCAATCGGAAAAAGGTCCACTATTTGACTGCTGATTCAGGACTCTAAATTGTGTTTTATATAATCAACATTTTATATTGTTCTGTGTATACTGCAATGTTCTTTTGTTGCTATGGCCGTTGGCTGACACAAATGAAGTTTTATTCATTCACTCACAGCACCTAAAAACCACGCCTTGATTGTGCAGCTTTAGGACACTGGAGACAGGGCTGCAGAAATAGCAAAAGGTCTTTGATCCCTTGCAACCCTGGACAACTGCACCACTCACCCTTAGGCCACAGCATTTGCCACCACACCATACCTGGTGCTCTCTAATGCCAGGTCTGATGAAGCTAAATAGGCAGCCTTGAGCAACTTGTTACTGGCATCCTGACTTTGCCTCTTTGGAGCGGGGACATGACCCATGCAAGCCAGCCCTGTCACATAGGACTCCCAACCTTCTTACATGGAGTGATCAGGTTCCCTACTACTGGGAACACTGAAGAACCAACATGGGTAGGTTCAGAGGAGGAGCTGGCTAAGTTAATCTCACTTGCTTCCACAAATTCAGAATGCCTAAAGAGGGCTTATTGCTTAAACTTGGGATGGGGAACCTCAAGCCCATGGGCCAAAAGTGGTTCTCCAGGCCTATGTGGTCCATGGCACTGTCTGTAGGCCACTCCCTATCTGCATCCACACCACTGAGTGGCCTTGCTTTGCACCATCCTCAAGTGTTTTTCCCCTGGCCAGAATGTGTCACTGAATGCTTATAATGCCACTTGCTTGCCTGGATGGAGGATAGAGAGGTATGTTTCAGTGTGTGTAGAAACTAGCCTACTGTAAAATCTGTATTATTGCTCCAAGCACCACAGCCATGTAGTTCTTGGAAGGTTTCCAAGGCCTGTGGGCTGAAAGGGTTATCTGCTCCTTTCTTAGCCTTACTTACTTCACCTCATTGTACCAACACAGCTATAGTGGCACTCTGAACTCCTGAAAAGAGGATGACGCAAATATTACAAATAAATGAAAAATCCCTCAGCAGGTGGGAATATAGGTTTTTAAAAAATTAAAAATGAATATGCCCTCAGCTGGTGATTTCTGGTATTTACCACACCAGGAAGAGAGGAAAAACCACAAAGTACTTTAACAGCTGGTATCAAAAGTACCATCTCTTGCCACATGATGGGGTGCTGTCATAAGAAATATTCACATTGTACATTAAACTGATGAACAGCCAAATGTTTGAAATACATTTTGGATTGCAATATTTTACTCATAAAAATGTGAATCATATGCAAGAACTAGTGTGTGTATTTTGGGGAGAAAGGGGTGCATTTTAATGCTTCAATCCTGGACAGAATTACTAGGACGTAAATTCCGTTGAACTCAGTGGTATTTGCTGCTGCGTAAACACACTTAGGATTGTTCTTTAAAAGTCCATGTGAAAATTAGCAAGTGAAGAATGCAATGTTGGTCCAGTAAAGTTTGGAGCAGGAGAGATTAGGCAATTTGCTCCTAACTAAATGGGATTTCAACAGTTTCTCCTCAAATAAGACAAAGAGTAAAATGAACTCACCTTTGTCTCTTTAGCAGTGGAACCTAGAATTAGAAAATAATAATAATCCTCAAATGAAAAGAGGATAAAATATAAGAGATACATTAAATTAATGTTTCATTTTGCTTTAGAAAAACTAGACTTGTGAAATCAAATCCCCAATCTATAATTTACTGATGTGACATTTTTGGACACAATATCCCATTCTTTGAAGCTGTTAATATTGTGGGCTTTCATATTTATTCACACAATGAAATTGTGGGCAGTACGTCAAGGCTCTAATCCTCGCCGTATGTGCTGCTGTGAAGCTTCCTTTGATCTGGATCCAGAAGCTGTGATTAGTGCAGAATTCTGCAGCATGATTGCTGACAGGAGTGAGACAACCACTGGGCTAAGTTCAAGGTGCTACGATTAGTATACAGTGGTACCTCTGGTTAAGAACTTAATTTGTTCCGGAGGTCCGTTCTTAACCTGAAACTGTTCTTAACCTGAGGTACCACTCTAGCTAATTGGGCCTCCTGCTGCCGCCGCACCGCCAGCACGTGATTTCTGTTCTAATCCTGAGGTAAAGTTCTTAACCCGAGATGCTACTTCCAGGTTAGCAGAGTTTGTAACCCGAAGTGTTGGTAATCCGAGGTACCACCATATAAAGTCTTTAACAGCTTGGGACTAGTTTACCTACAAGGTCGCCCTACCCCATATATGACCCCTAGATTGCTTTGATCAGTGGAACTGGCACTTTTACAGGTGCCACATAATACTTGTTCCACATTTGTAAGAAATTGATCTTTCAGTGTGGTGGCACCCACAGTTTGGAATTCCCTGCCTATTGATATCAGGCAGTACTGACTTCTCTTCACTCTTTTTGGCACCTGTTAAAAACATTTTTGTTTAGGCAAGCCAGTGCAGACATGTCAAATGCTGCCATGTGCTTTAAGCGAGGTTTTAACTTATTGTCGATTTTTTAAATGTTTTAATTAATTATTTTTACCTGTTTTTACTGATAATTTCACTGCTTTATTCTTTTTGTAAACCACTCTGAGGCTTTCCCCCTCACAACTGATCTGTATATAAGTTTTAAAAAATAAAAAATAAAAATAAAAATAACTCACTGTGTGCCTCCAATTGACCTGTTTAATTGACAATCATAACTGTGTCTGGATTGTACTACCCAAGAGCTATTGATTCTCATTGCATATCAGAAAAACAGGAAAAGAATGTGGTATCTACAAATCACATCTGTGCAGATTTTAGGAAAATAACCAAACATATGTACAAATAAATATGTAGGCCAGTTGTACATTAATATTTCAGTTATACATTTTCCTGCAAAAGGATTCAGGAAGTTATTCTCTGGTGAGCCGTTACTTGCCGCAGCATTCAGATTTTACTTCAGTCCTTGTTCAGGTGTTCACATGGACATATGCCAAGGGACTGATCAGGCTCTCACTTGCAGACCTCATTTCTGTCCTCCATACAGAGACCCAAACATGCACAGGTTCCAAGACCCAAGACCCTCTATTTCCATGGTTTTGATACTTGCATGCAAGAGCATCTGCAAGTATGAGTAAACGTGAGAGAAAATGGTACCCTTGGACATATGAGCATACAGAAAGAACAGGGATCCACTGGGTAGTAAGTAGGTTACGCACCTGAGAAGCAGCACAGGATCAGAGCAAGAAGCACAAAGGCAGATGCAAATTTCATAGTCTTGAAGAGTCTATCACACATTAGTGTGTTTCTCTTAATAAATCCCTAAGAATGGCTAACCAATGTGTATATACAGCTATATAAGGAAAGACGAAAGAGTGGGTGGGCAGGTTTTGCACATATATACCTTATTTGCAGTAGAGTCCCTACATGCTGAAACGGCACATAGTATTGTGAAATCTTTGTGATAGGGTGGTAGTTTCAGGGAACACCCAGAAAGTTCTTCAAAAGCAGACTCAAGAATGCTTCTGTGAAAGCAGGACAAACATGAATTTCATTCTTGATCTTTGCTCTGTGTATCTGATTAACAAGACTTGGATAAATGGGTGTGATAAGCAACTGCCATTTATAATGAAGCTCAGTATTTATATGGTGATTGAATCTCTAGCAAAAAGTCTCTGGCAAAAAGTCACCCTTAGCATGGAGTAATATGCCTCCTTTTTGTGGTGATGAATCCCTGACTAATATTAACAGATTCATATTAGGCATGGTCCAAGTAGTCAAACTTTGTGGTTGTAGCAGCAACAAAAGATGTTACTGGATAGGAGGAGCTAGAAACTGGTGACTGACAGAGCCCTCTTATCTTTCAACTGTAGCTTAGAAATTCTAAATATTAAGTGGTATAGAAATACTTGAAGAAAAAGAAGTGATGGGGCATGTTTAATCTGTTGAAACTTTTAAATCTTTTTTAAAATCCACTTTAAAAAATTCTACCTTCTTTTTAAGATGCAAATAGAAACAACAACAAATTAGTTATCTGAGTTATAAACATCTCATTTTCCAATTTAATTCAAACCAATGTATTACTTACCACTGACCATTGGGGATGGGATAAAGTATAAATAAATGTGAAAGGAGAAGCATGGAAGAAATTGAAGGAGATGAGTAAAAGTGGATTGAGAGGTGTAAGGGTAGGGAAAGTATACACTGAATTGCCTTCCGGATCAGCAGTTGTTTCCCTAAAACATGAGGTTGTCACATTACCCCCCAAAGCCAATGTCTCTACTTAGCTTGAAGAAAGCTGAACTTTGGGATTCCTTGCTGCAAAGAAATAACTGTGGCAAAGAATTCAGCAATTTCCAAAGAGAGAAAACTGAAAATTGTCAGTAATTGCCTGCCAATTATGTTAAATTCTGCCTTCATCCACGTGCACTGCCATTTTGTGACTAGAGAGCTCCATTTTTTAGCCTCCCCAAGTGGGCCCTGGGTGGGAGGCAGAAGGTTTAAGAGCCCTTGAGTTAGAACAAGCACAGAACATTTGTAGGTCCTACAAAATCCTGGAAAACAAAAGTTTTGTTTAGCAAAGTGACATTTCAGAAAAAGATAGGAGAAGGAGACTGAATAAGAACCTAAAATTAGATTTGGACAAAGAAGGTTTGTAGGGCATTACCAGGAAGGAGGTAGCAAATCAAGATGTGGAAGGGAAACCCACCCTCCTCACTCTAAGCCCAAGGTAGGAGTAAGGAATATGACAGCTAACTATGAGCTCCTTACTATTAGCTGATACCACCTGTGTGTAACAATGGGAGAGGGGCATTAACAGATGGAAAGGGAACACAACTAGATAGAAGGTGCAAAACTTAAGAGGTGACCTCACAGGCCATCTGGCTACTAATGGAAAGAAAAATGGCCTGAAAAATGGCAAATATTGTTCTATTGAAACAACAGAACCTGTGTCCCACACCAGATGTTGTTAGACTACAAAGTCCATCAGCTCAAACCAGCATGGCCAATAGTCAGTGATAGATTGGGGCAGCAGATTCACCAACTCTGTCTTAAATAGTTAGGCCATGATTGAAGATTTTTTTGTTGCCCTCTGTGTTCTCCAAAAGTTCTCCACAAGGGTCAAGTCACTGAGCCACTGCTACCACAGTAACAAGGGTAAGAGTTTCTGAAGACCAACTCCTGGACAGAAGGATGTAGGCCTGAAGAGAGGGATTATCTCAGCTAGCTGTCCCTGCACAATTCTGGATCATTCATATTATGTATGGAGCTACCTTTGTTTTTAGGGGAAAGAATGAACCTCACTCAAATTGTTATGAACAGGTCAGAACCAAAATATACGACAAACGGAATAGGGATGGAGAAGTTGTGTCCCTCCAGATGTTGGACTCTAACTCCCATCAACCTTAGCCAATGGTCAGAGATGACCAATAGTCAGAGATGATATAGTTCAGCAACATTTGGAGATGTTAGAAGAAATGAAGTTAGAACAAATGCAGGTGATTGCTGACTTGGATTTGTACAGGCAATGGATGGACAAATGTTTGGTTAAATATACAGTGTAATGTCTCTCACAAAACCAAACTGACCCAGAGAGCAGCAAGGGTTTAAAAGAAGTAAGCCATTCAGTTTTGTCCCAATGTACGGTACTACATAGGATCCCAAACTGAGAACATACAGAGAAAAACCCTGGGAGAAAAAATGTTGAAAATTTCTTTTTATCCTGCATGAAGAATGTTAATACAATCCATGGTATTGGTACCATCCTATCATGACTAGACAGCAGGGCTCGAAAACAGCATTACCAAAGGTGCCAGGGACTCTGAAGAAGCACAAACTCAAGGCAAAAAGGAGAAACGAGCTAAGAGGAAGACAAGTTTAGTAAACCCTCACCATGATCAACTTCCACCCAGAAACCTATGATCCCACTGTGGAAGGACGTGTGGATCCAGAATTGGCCTCCACATTCACATACAGGTACACCATTAAGACTGTGTTTGTGGAAGACATCTTACTTGGCTATGAGTGATTGCCAAAGAAGAAGATCATGACCACAGGGCTCAAATGAAGAATCTCTCATAAAGCTGGTTATTGCTTCATAGCCTAATAAAGAAAATAACCTGACCGTCTCTATGAATGTAAACTGAGGAGAAATGTTGAAGGAACTGGATGATCCAGAAAATCCAGTTTGTAGACCAGAGTAATACATAAAAGGAAATAGGGTTTTGAATTAGAAGGAAGGGTCCTCTAATTTTCAGTTTAAGCAACATTTGAAGATTTGATCAAAGCTGTATTGCCTCTTCTATTCAGCTGCCATCATTCAAGTCACTGTCACTGTCTCTGTCTCTAGCAAGGATTCAATCCTGGGCTCTAGCTCAGAAAACATGCTTCAGACATTTACCGTATACTAACACTGCACCTCCTGGATTTCTCTAAGGCCTGATACATAATGGTTAGTGCTTTCCCTGGGTAGGTGCCAGATGTGTTCACTGCAAGATGTGACAGTGTAATTTGTGGGGGAGATACATAGGCTGTTGTAATGCTGGTTTGGGTACATTTGAAATTCAGCTCAGCCTTAGCAATTGTGAAGGAAGGTACTGATCCTTTTCACTAGTTGGGACTCGTGAGTTGAGTGAATGGGTGAATGGGAAGGTGAATGAATAGGTATGTGCACCAGCTAGCCCTGCAGTGGGGTATGTGCCCCATTTGCCCAGCCCCTCACAGACATCTGCAAAGAGGAAATTGTTGCTTCTATATATGCACAAAGTCTTCCATGCCATCAGGAACTGCTAGCTGTCAAAGTTCCCAATCAAACAGAAGCCTCTGAGCACATTATTTTCTTAATGGTATGTTTACTTATAAAAGTTACTGTCTAACCTTTCCACTAGAAAAGCTCCCCAATCTGTGCAGCTATACACAGTGGGGGAGCTTCATGCTCTGGCACCGGGGGATCAGAAAGCAGGCGGGGCTGATGCGCATCCTGGGGGTGGGGCGCACTGCCCGCAGGGGCGGGGCATGTGTCCTGGGGGCAGGTGCGCTGCCTGTGGGGGCGTGGCACCCAGCGAGGGCGGGGGGACAGCCGCGATGGCAGCATGATCCTGGTGGGGATCCTGGCGCCAGGATCATGCTGCCGGGGGCGGTGGGCTCCCCCCGCACTCCTCTTCCTCCGTCAGTGGCTATACACACCAACACTTCACCTTTGCAGATGTTCACACCAATGCAGAGATGTCTGGGCTAGTCAGCATAGCCCCCCCCAGCCCCAATGTATTAACAATGCTAGCTAGTTAATTAATTAATTTATATACTGCTGCATATTTCAATGGAAATCTCTTCTGAAATGAGCTGATAAGCTGCTAATATTTACTAATATTCAGATCAGGTTAATTTCTGTATTTTCTGGGACTTTATTCTTAGAATAAGCCTGAAGGCCATCAGTTGATCATCACTGATCTTGATAACAATTGTTCAATCATTCCATCTCTTCTGGGCCAGCACAATAAAAAGAACACTACATTGCCAAGACTAAGCGGCAACTGTTGTAAATCCTATAACGTACAAAATATGGCCTATGACGCCAACTTCCCCTGTTTTTTAGTGGAGCTGGTTGGGAAAGGAGTAACCTTGTAACCTGGTTGGGAAAGAAGTAAACCCTAGCATACCATTTCTGGTTTATAATGTCAGTGAAGCATGGGAAGGTGATTTCAAAATGCTGAGAATCTGACCTTTGTATTGTTACGTGCACTGGATCCATGGCGCTTGCTTTTTGGTGGGGATGGGGTGGTGGAAAGAAAGATACCAGGCACATTCTAATTCAACATTCCAGTACAAAACAAGCAGCATTAGAGATATACCAAATATACTATGAATAATATGTCTTGAGGTTTGGGGGACAGGGGGAGAATCTGCATTAGGGGACGATCAGAGGAGGTGAACCATCAGTCACTTTGTGGAGGATGAAAGGAAGCCAACAGAAGAACACCGGAAGATTCTACTGGATCAGGCTATGTGCCCATCTAGCCTGTTCCCAAAGTGGCCAGCCAGAAGCCTATGCAAGCAGGACCTACATGCAACAGAATTCTCCCCACTTGTGGTTTTTAGCAACCCATTTTCAGGAGCACACTGCCTCTTTATAGTGGAGGTAGAACTTAACCATCATAGCTAATAACCATTGATAACCTTATCCTCCATGAATTTGTTTCATCCTCTTAAAGTCACCCATATTTTTGGCCACCACTACCTCTTGGGGGAGTGAATTTAGCTGAACTATGCACGGTGTGAAGTCATAGTGCCTTTTGTCTGTCTTGTATCTTCAAACATTCAGTTTTATAAGAAAGGAAAACTTCCTCTGTCAGCTTTCTCAAAACTAAAAAGCCCCAAATGTTGTAATCTTTCCTCATGGGGAACTTGCTCCAGCTTCTTGATCATGGGTATGCAAACTAAGGCCCGGGGGCCAGATCCAACCCAATCACCTTCTAAATCCGGTCCACAGACGGTCCGGGAATCAGCGGGTTTTTTTACATGAGTAGAATGTATGCTTTTATTAAAAATGCATCTCTGGGTTATTTGCAGCGGTGTAGCGTGGGTTGTCAGCACCCGGGGCAAGGCAAGTAATTTGCGCCCCTAACCCGTGGATTTGCACCCCCTAACCTGTGGATTTGCGCCCCCTAACCCGTGGATTTTCCCTAACCCCAGATGTTGCGCCCGGTGCGGCCGGCCCCCCCTGCACCCCCCACGCTACACCACTGGTTATTTGTGTGGCATAGGAATTTGTTCATTTCCCCCCCAAAAATATAGTCCAGCCCTCCACAAGGTCTGAGGGACAGTGGACCAGCCCCCTGCTGAAAAAGTTTGCTGGCCCCTGTTCTTGATCATTCAAAGAGACAGCTGCCCTCTGACAGCTCTTTGGCATAAATTGAGAAGATAGTCAAAAATTTGAGTTTAGAGCCAGATTTAGGCACAACAGTACGAAATTGGAATTCAATATCAATCAAATGGGTCAATTTCAAACCTGTAGTTAAATTGTTAATTTACTGTTATGAAAAGACAACTCAAGTTGATGATAACTACATATTCCTGCTGTTGAATCCAAAGGGCTGTGAGATGAAGGGAAATAGCCACTACTCCTGTTCTGCAAGCTCATTTGCACAAAAGTTTGCACAGAGCTATAAAAGATATTGCAGTTCATGAGTCACAACCTCTTCTGCAAGCAGGAAAACATGCCTGGTTTCATTATTTTTTTATTGCATAACTCTCTAGCACTGGCAGTGGTGAACCTTCGGGTCTCAAATTTTAGTGGCACCCTGTGCGATGCCAAGATTTTGTGCCCCCCCCCACCTCTTGCCTTCCATTCTCCATCATAGTTGTCACATACGCACACCAGAACCACTGAGACTGGTGCAAATCGGTTGCACTCCCCTAAATCTGCCTCTGGCACAGGCTTCCTCAACCTTCCACTCAGCTTGCTTAATTCTTCAACTGTACATGCTCAATCTGTCCTCTGAAATCAACAGGGATTAAAAGTTTATTGGTTGGATCATGCCCAATAACTTTAAGAGCACTAAGATGCTAACTTGCAAGCAAAATAAAAATCCTTCCAAGTTTTTTCGGAAGTTACAGTACAACCCTATTCATGGCTATTCAGAAGTTGAGACTGGTTGAATTCAGTGTGTCTCATAGGATTTAAGCCTTAGTTACATTTGTAGGGCGGGGGGGGGAGGGGGGAATGCATGTATCATAAAGGAGACTCCTCACAAAAAAAGTCAGTTTTGAATAGATTAGGTGAAAACAAGTGTCCAAATCTGAAAAATATAGTGGATTTCTATAAACCTTTACAGTCAGATCTCAGCCCTGATGTGAGAAAATCTGTGAGTACCCAGCTCCTGAGAATATAAGCATTACAGATTGCTATTATTAATCCATGAGGGAAAAAATGATCATTGTCAGAAACCTATCAAAGTGCTGAGAGTCAGAAGTGATTATCCAGCTGCCAGTGTGATTGATGTGAAAAAGCTTGGTTGTGTTTTTTTTTTAAAAAAAAGACTAAATGTTATTCAAAAAATGTAATTAGCATTTCCGTTCTCACCGGGAGGGATTTTCCCTTATCCATTCTTAATACGTCACATGAAATGTGGTCTTTGGAAATCATACTCTTATCATGATGAAGGATGTGCCCAGAAGAATATATATATGCCAGAACTTTGCAGAGTTTCATGTGTTCATTGTCTGGGTTTCGTACTAACCGACAGTGTACATACCACCATGAAGACGACACACGCCTTCACCCTCTTCAGCTTCCTTGCATTTTGCTTCTTCTTCTCAGGTGAGTAGCCTTTAATTCTATTCCCTGATGGTTGCAGTACCTTCTGGCCTCTTTTTATTAGCTCGGGGCCATGGATTCCATTAGATACATTTCTGTGTAGCTTTAGACCAAGAGGTGACCCGCCAGACCCTCAAGGCTTTTAGAACTCTGAGCACAAGTAGCAGGTTTGGGGACATAGCCCTAGAGAAGCCGGGAGCACCTGCAGCTACAATTGTGATTTGCAGAAAGGTCTCCTCCTGCTGTTAATGGCTGGGTGCTCCTGACACGTTGAACAATCTGTGGGAGGAGAGGGGCAATTAAAGGAGTTCCTCTGAGCTCAGGTACTGTGACATGTGGGCTGGCGTTCAAGAAAAATTATTTAGACATTTTTCAGGTTCCATCTGAAAAAGCTCACTTCCCTTCCACCTTCTCTGAGCCCATCAATTTCTATCATTCACCTGCCCCCCCATCCCAGAGGGAATCAAATGCATCATCCTTCAGAAAACGGGCAGGAATAGGATGTTGATTTGCATTTGCTGGTTTATATGTATAGATGCACATTTAGCAATAAGAACTTAATGTGCCTATTTCAGTGGGAAGACAATGCATCGTATCATTTCAGGGAAGGCTGTGACCAGATGATAGGTGTGCCTGCTCAGTTTCCTCCCCAGCTGCTAAGCATTGATGGGCAACGCAAAAGCCCTTACTCTCCCTTCTTTATCATCAGTTCAGTCTAGTCTTGACGAAAAGACTGTTTCTAACGCAAGGCTATGGCAGCCCTTCACATACAGGGCTGTCTTCCTTGCTAGATTCCCCAAGAAGAAGGAAAAGCCTCTCATTGAGAAAGGTGATAACTACAAATCCCATGATGTCTAGTGGGAAATGAGTCACAATTTGATATTTCCAAACTATAGGGAAGCTGTAGGGGTAACCCCAGATGAATGGTAGGAAAATGGGACAAGGATGGGTCCTACACAGCCTCTCTGCAGTTTGAACTTACATTCTGTGTATCATTTCCCACCATACACGATGGGACTAATAGCAAGCAGCAATGAGCACAAGCTCAGCTTGCACTTCCCCATTGTCAATCACTGAATGAAGTGCACAAGATTCCCTTATATAACATGTTTGATCTACCAAAGTTAATCAATTATTGAAATATTGACAGCAGGGGCTATAAAATAAGCAGAGAGAGAGAGAGAACAAAATGAATTCCACATCCTTGCAGCAAATGTACCTTTGACTCTATGGATCTATGGATCTATGAATCTAGTTTTTTGAGTTAATGGCTATAACTCCATTTTATATAGAAATATGTTACATGAACTGTATTTCCATTCTAGGGATTTCTGGTGATCATGGACAGAAGGTTAGTGCCAACCATTTTTTAAATTAAGGTTCATATTTGCTCAAAGCTCATTTAGGAAGCCCTTGGAGACTACTGACCCTTCCTCTTCTGTTCTTTCATATGCACACAGATCCTGATCCCATCTAACAATGGGCTGCTTTGCATATTCTAGTCCTAATCAGACTGTTGGTCCTAATCAGACTGTTGGTAAATAATTAAAGATTATTTTGGAAAAGCAAAAGAAAGGAACAGGGAAGCTAGATTCATCCCCACACCTCCCCCCCAACCCCCTGTTAATGCTTAGGCCGGGGGTCAGCAACCCGCGGCTCCAGAGTCGCATGTGGCTCTTTTACACCTTTGCTGCGGCTCCGGGGCGGATACTAGTGAGGGGAGGAGGCGCATTGTGCGCCCTGACACTCCCCACTGTGGCGGGCGCTGTACTGGCTGTGACGTTGCATGGGGGCGGTGCGTGCGTTAGTCACGCACCGTCCCGGCGTCACCTTCCCGCCTGCTGTCAAATCGCGGCTCTGGAGATATATTTGTTTTAAATGTCGCAATGGTTTTGCGGCTCCCAGGTGTTTTTTCTTAGGCCAATGATTTGGTCTGAGTTACTGGCAGTAATACTTCTGCTGCCCACAATGTCCTGAAGACTGCTCACCTGAGCATTTTGTGCTCCACTGCTTTCTTTTCCTCAGGGAGCAGAAGAGGTTACTGATAGGCTAGATACCTGCTTACCATTCTATGACTGTTTCTTGAACCTCTTTGTAAAGGTAAAGGGACCCCTGACAGTTAGGTCCAGTCCACGGACGACTCTGGGGTTGCGGCGCTCATCTCGCTTCACAGGCTGTGGGAGCCGGCATTTGTCCGCTCCGCAGACAGTTTTTCCGGGTCATGTGGCCAGTATGACTAAGCTGCTTCTGGCGCAACGGAACACTGAAAACCAGCGCACGGAAGCGCTGTTTACCTTCCCGCCAGAGCAGTACCTATTTATCTACTTGCACTTTTTGGCGTGCTTTCAAAATGCTAGGTTGGCAGGAGCTGCGGTCGTCTCAGTTTTTCCTCATTCCTGGCTCAGTAGATTTACCCTAATTAAACTGGGGTCTGCGTCAGGGTCAGCAACTTTAGACCACTTCTGAAATACTCCAGGGGCCTTGCTCATTTGCTCTCTCACTATTGGCTTGCTCTTTTATGCTCACTCTTTTGACAGCAATGAACCATCTTTCTATGCTCGAAAAGGAGAGGTTGCACAATATTTTAAGGGGAAGATACAGATGTGTACAACAACAGGCTGCGCTGGTTTGCAGGAAGGTTTCACAGCAGAGGAATAGACATACTGAAATATAATAAACATATTTATCAATGTGAAATAATACTTATAATGCCTTCGGCAGGATGAATGCATCGAGTTTCCCAAACCAGAGAAAGGTGGCCAGATTTTCTGCACAGATGATTATAAACCTGTCTGTGGCACTAATGGTGTGACCTACCCTAACAGATGCGCACTCTGTGCAGACCAGTGAGTAAATCTTCACACAGCTGTTTCTACCATTTCCTTGATGAAACATGTCATTTGGTTCATTTATTTTATTTTATTTTATATAACAGTGTCAATTTATTTTTAGGGCAGCGGGAGTTCACGTTCATATAAAACATGATGGAGAATGTAAAGGAAAGGTAATCACTACTAATAGGTTACTTTTTAACAGCAGTGATACTGTTGCAATAAAGAACACAGGACTGTAAATTTCTCCAACCTGTGTGCAAAACTGCAATCTGTGGAGAACTGGAATCCCATATTATCTCAGTCATGTGCTTTAAAAAAAAAAAATCCCACCCTGCCATCACATTTTATCTGTTCCCACATGGCCAGCAATTTTAGGCAAATGCTCCCCTCTGCTCTGTATTACAGCCATTGGGTCCTTTTCCTTCTGAGCCCCTTTCTCTCCTGTTCCTGGTGTTCCTCCCTTTTGCAGCTTCCATATAATGGCTGCATCTGCATTGTGTTCCATGTTTGTGCATCGTTTCAGCCATATGTTTGAGAAAGAGATATTCCATACGTCACACCTTTGATTCCAAAGACAGAACCCTGCTGAACTGTGCAGAATTTAATGGGCTTGGGAAACTCGCTGCATTCATTCTGCAGCAACAAATTAAATGTTCCAAGTTAAGCGACTGAATAACTGAAAGAGGACTACGTATTGTGTTTAATTCCTTTGATGGTTACGTAAATTACTTTGGCAAGGACCGAGCTTCTTCATAGTCTGTACTGTTAGTTCCAGATATTTGTTTGCGATAAGGAAAAGTAGCAGATTGTTGTTCCGGTTTCCGTCATATCTTGCAAATTCAGAAGTAGGGAGGATGCACACAGCTTAGAAAATGGCCATTTCTGCACCAAGAAGTGTTTGTTAAAGGGACCTGAAACACAGCCAGCTTCCGAATGACAAAACCTTGGGAAAGGTTCTTGGAAGCTTGGGGTTGGGGTGGGCTGCTTCCTTGCCATCTTGAGACTGTAACCAGATGCAGATTGCATAGCTTCTCCAGTTGCCAACTCCCCCCCCCTTCCCTGGCTCTGTTTATCATCCAGCCTGGCAAAAAGTTCTGGACAACTTGAAAGCTTGCACATTTTGGTGGCATTTTGGTGCTGCCTTAACATGGGCTTTGGCGGTGTTCTTATGAGCCAAGATAGCTACCCTTATTTTTGATGCCAAGACAGTCTAAGACAGACCTTCTAGTCTACATGCCGACACACAACAACACTATCTCATTTCCTCCACTGAGTCCCAGCGAGTCTGCTGAAACCCTGAGCAGGTGTCAGCAGGCTGTTTTGGGATGGAGAAAGGAAAAGAAGTTAAGGCTTACTCCAGTTCAGTTGGAGGTAACTGTGGGTGGATAAATCTGATTTGGATGAAGGGGACAACTGGAGTTGCATGTGGGTGCACCCCACCCCTATAAAAGATTGGGCATTCTTCAGGTCTTCTGTACTCCTGTACTAGAAGTACAGTATAGGTTTTCTGTTGCTACCTACCAGGGACGCTTTCACAGTAGATTTCTTGCATCAGGAGCAGCTTGAACTACATAACCTTAGAGCTCCCTTTCAGATCTATGATTCCAGGATTTGATGACTTAATTCCACGTGCTGCTTTGCTTCCAAAAACAGATGAAATAGGCATGTCCTCTTGTATTGATATAACTTGTATAAAGCACCACAGTACACACTTCTGTCAATTAATGGATATTTTCAGAATATTTTCTGTTTGCTCCTTCTTATGGAACACTATCATGAGCTTCATTTAATAGTGGTACTTTAAAAATAAATAAATCCAAGGGTTGTTTGAGTTCCAGCCAACTAAATATGAAATCAAGAAAAGGATGAGGAAAGTATCTGGCACTTTCCATAATAGCAGTCAGTGGATACGTTGTTCTTCCTTTGAAGCAATATACTAATATAAATAGTGCATGTACAATTTTCTTTCTTTACATGTATCATTGATATTAGTATACTGAATTAATATTTGGGTTTGTTAATAGTATTTTGAATGGCATGCTGCTTTGTTAATGTACTACTGGGTGATTGACAATGGCCTTTCGCTGAGGAATAAAGATGTGTTATTTGTAAAGATTGTGTTCAATCACTAAGTGCTTTGCTACTATTTCCTTAGCCGGATGTCTGCAGTAAGTTCCCCCAACAAGAGAAGGGCAAACCAGCTGGGTGTACCAAGGAATACCGTCCCGTCTGTGGTACCAATGGCGTCACTTATGCAAACTTATGTCTCTTCTGTGCAGCAAAGAGGTCAGTGACTTTCCCAACTTTTTGACAGGTGCTGAAATGACATATCCTCCAATGTGGAGCATGTATTATAGGCATAATGCCACACGCTCATTCCATGCACAAATATTCTGAGCACATGAGATACTTACCATCCTATCTGTGGAGTTATCTATCCAAACAAGTGGGCTTTCTGTGCAGCAATGAGGCCAGTAAATTTTTCAATCAATGGAGCTCTAATGGCAGATCTCTCATTGTGTGCTGGGCATACAGTGCTGCAAGCCACTTCCATGCATAAACATTATGAGGGTTTTTGTTATGGGCTGGTGGCTCTAAGCATTTGTTTGTTTGTTTGTTTGTTTGTTTTAGGGACAGTGAAGTTCCTCTTGACATAAAGCATGAAGGAGAATGTAAGGTAAAGGTGAATTCTGGATTTACAGATCATTGGGCAGGATTCACTTAATGAACCTTGTCAGCTTGTGCAACAGTATTCCCTACCCCCTCCCCTTGCGCCCCCTTTGGCTCCACGGAGGGTTGGGAGAACCCCAAGAATAGCATGTGGGGGGAACAAGGGGGGATGATTCCATTTGGCAGACTTGCACAGACAGAACATTCATAATAGTGCAGCGTTGAATGCTGCCCAAAGGTTTTAAATACTCTTAATTGTGCTATTATTACCTACTCAAGTGCCATACGGTAAGCTTCTGTTATGGGGGGGGGGGAATATTCCATTCTCCAATTTCTTTTATTTCTTATCCGGTATTGTTTTAATCTATGCTGACACTTCCAACCTCCTTTAAATAAAATTCTTTTCCTGACCTTGGCTTTCTTCTGGCACTGTTTTCAATATACCTCTGGATTGACCCCCTCTTTCACTTGCGTCAGCTACCTGACTGTTTGACTAAACAAAGTTCTTCCAGTTACTTTTTACACGGCTGTAGAGCTTGCGTTAATTTAATTAATATAAAAAGTCATTAATACCGTTTTTCAAAGTTTACTCACACTAACCGGATATCTAAACACGTTGATGTTCTGTGGAAGTTCCGCCGCCAGGTCAGCCCAAAAATCAGGCTTTCTCACTGGGGGGAGGGAATGCTGTTACCCATGCCTGTGGTCTCCTTCCTAAACCTCTTGGTTCGCTTTTGGGAGACCTTTTCCACGCCACAGCAAATTCTTCGAGGTTCTGGAAGCCCTCCTGAACCTTCTGAGGGGTTATGAAGCCTTACAACCCCTATTTTCACCCCTTCAGTAACTGTGCGTCTCCTGGAGCCCAAGAAACGCACATCCGAAGTCAAACTGCAGCAAACCCGGAAGCCTTAGAGTTGGCCTTAGAGCTCAAAACCCTCAGTATCTGGCACTTTCCATAATAGCAGTCAGTGGATATGTTGTTCTTCCTTCAAAGCAATATACTAATATCAGTAGTGCATGTACAATTTTCTTTCTTTACATGTATCATTGATATTAGTATACTGAATTAATATTTGGGTTTGTTAATAGTATTTTGAATGGCATGCTGCTTTGTTAATGTACTACTGGGTGATTGACAATGGCCTTTCGCTGAGGAATAAAGATGTGTTATTTGTAAAGATTGTGTTCAATCACTAAGTGCTTTGCTACTATTTCCTTAGCCGGATGTCTGCAGTAAGTTCCCCCAACAAGAGAAGGGCAAACCAGCTGGGTGTACCAAGGAATACCGTCCCGTCTGTGGTACCAATGGTGTCACTTATGCAAACTTATGTCTCTTCTGTGCAGCAAAGAGGTCAGTGACTTTCCCAACTTTTTGACAGGTGCTGAAATGACATATCCTCAAATGTGGTGCATGTATTATAGGCATAATGCCACACGCTCATTCCATGCACAAATATTCTGAGCACATGAGATACTTACCATCGTATCTGTGGAGTTACCTATCCAAACAAGTGGGCTTTCTGTGCAGCAATGAGGCCAGTAAATTTTTCAATCAATGGAGCTCTAATGGCAGGTCTCTCATTATGTGCTGGGCATACAGTGCTGCAAGCCACTTCCATGCATAAACATTATGAGGGTTTTTGTTATGGGCTGATGGCTCTAAGCATTTGTTTGTTTGTTTGTTTGTTTGTTTGTTTGTTTGTTTGTTTTAGGGACAGTGAAGTTCCTCTTGACATAAAGCATGAAGGAGAATGTAAGGTAAAGGTGAATTCTGGATTTACAGATCATTGGGCAGGATTCACTTAATGAACCTTGTCAGCTTGTGCAACAGTATTCCCTCCCCCCTCCCCTTACGTCCCCTTAAATTGGCTCCACGGAGGGTTGGGAGAACCCCAAGAATAGCATGTGGGGGGGGACAAGGGGGGATGATTCCATTTGGCAGACTTGCACAGACAGAACGTTAATAATAGTGCAGCGTTGAATGCCGCCCAAAGGTTTTAAATACTCTTAATTGTGCTATTATTAATTACTCAAGTGCCATACAGGTATTTAGACAGATTTTATACTGGGAACATGAGCAAAGGCCACCTCCAACAGTATGCATTCTTTCACAGGATGTGTGCAGTAAATTCCCAGAGCCACCTAAGGGCCAGGCTCCTAAATGTACATTGGAATGGAAACCTGTTTGTGGCAGTGACGGTCAGACATATGGCAACTTGTGCGCATTTTGCCATGCGAGAAGGTGAGTAGATCAAATAAAGGTCCTTGTATAACAAAAGTGGCCTGCGGGTTAGTGGAATCACTTTTCTAGTTCAAACTATGTACAAAATATGTATGAAATACGTACAAAATATGTACAAAACATGTAAGAAATTCAATTTTACATTACAAGGAGAAGGCAGTTAACTCCTGGATGCATCTGAGAATGATGCAATAAAAACATCCATTGTCAACACAACTGACCAGATCATGTATTGCATGTTGAAGTTCCACAAATTTATCTCATCTTTTTCAGACAAAGTGGAAACACTATCACAATAAGCCACAAGGGTCCGTGTAAGGGAAAGGTAAATCAACTGGCTTCATAATTCTCTGTGGTAGCTTATGCTTTTCTTACTAAACACTTTATGCAAGAGGCTGAATTAGTACAGGAGAATTCAATGGAAATACCACCTTTTCCAAAAGGAAAATAGTAGTGAGAGTCTGGAGAGATCACACAGATGTGCATGATTTTGCAAGTGTGGCTCTGGAGATAAAAAGTAAGTATCTCCTTAATCCATTCCCATTTTAGCAAAAGAATTTCCTATCCATTTCCACATATGATGCTGGCCATCTAGATGAGTAAATCACCTTCTTTGTAAATCATCATCTTTGGCCAATGCAATTCAGTGTATCAGGTTTATGATATGGAAACGTTTTGTTGTGAAGGGATGGATGTCTTTAGAATGCTCTGTCATGGCTTTGAAAAGACAAGTCTTTTTGCTTCCTTGTGGAATCTACTTGCTTCATCACGGAAAATCAGGGGTTTATATTAAAATGTAGAATTCACAAATCTTGTGTTGCACATCATGAACCTTTTCATGTTAATAAGGGATGTTTGAGGAAACATTCTATATTTGGTTTCATAGGACGAGTGCAGTGACTTCCCAGTCCCACCCAAGGGCAAGCCTGCTATATGCACATTTGAATTAGCAGAAGTCTGTGGCAGTGATGGTGTGACATATCCAAACAAGTGTACATTTTGTGATGCCAAAAGGTGGGTATATTTCTGTTAACCAGTGTATGAAAATATTTTAATGTAAGTCACTTTGAGCTACTTAGTAAAAAAAATAAAATCTAATAAACAACAATAATAAAAACAACAACAAGAAAGTAATAACGCTGTTGTTGGAAAGAAAGCATACAATTTATACATTTCAAAATGCCTAGCTATGAATTCAGTACATGAGTATGCTGTTTTTCCTGGAGAAAAAGGACGACTCAGATTAATGCAAGCTAAATCACTGGGATTTACTTAAGGGGGAAGTCCTTGGTGCATCTAAGGATGCGCTAGTGAAAATAAGCATGTAGTGTAAAGGCCCTTGGGAAAGGGGGGGGGGCAGTATTTGAGTAAATGGGGCCTATGTTTCCTCTTAAATTTTTAGACATTTCCTAGAGAAGGATCAAAAGGGAAATGGTTGGAAGATAAGTCCTTGGTACATCTGGGAACAATACACTGCAAACATCTGTTGTCAGTATTACTAACTGGACTGTGTAGTCTCCATGCCAAAAAATTATCACTTTCTTTTTCAGGAAAAGTGGCGGCAAGCTAACGATAAAGCATGAAGGGCCCTGTGAGGAACAGGGGCAAAAGGTGAATCCACTTGCTAACATAATTTCCTGATGTGGGATAATGCTCCTCAGTACCCCTTCCAAATGTAATCTCCTAGGCATTCAAGAAATAAAAACTTCCCCTCCAAAGAGGGTCTCAAAACACGACAAAATACATATTCACTTATTATGAATAATAAGCCTCAAGGACTATGGCACATTCTAATCCTTAAAAAACACACACGTTATTCAACCATTATTCAGCCTTACATGCCTTCAAGTCATTTGGCTTTGAGTTGTTATCTGAATCCTTAGGACTGAAATGAAAACACCGCTCTTTGCACTATGTCAAAAGCTCAGACAGGTGTTGACACTTACAAAACACTTACACATTTGCAGATCCTCCAGTTTCTCCAGTTTTTGTGCCAACATAACACATGAACCTTGGTAGACAATTGCATATAGAATCTTGCCTTACGGTGGTTAAATACCTAGGCGATGAGGACGGTGGTCATGAAGCATGCTTTTCCCCTTTTTTCTTTTTTGAGGGGAGGAGCAAGCCTAGACATTGCATGGTCCCACAAACCCTTCAAACTAATATTATTTTTCATTATAAAGCAGCTAACTACAGCTGAAAATCCAGGACACATCTACACTTATTTAGGTCTTTGATTTCCTCTGTTTGTCCCATGACTTTTAGGCACAGGTCTGAGCAGGGGTTGTTATTTTGGTCCTGCTGTTTTCTCTGGGGAAACCTGTGGTTTAACACTGAATTGGAACAAATATCACCCTGCTCAGTCCCATGTCTAGAAGTCACGGGACAAACTGAGGAAATCTCAGACCAAAAAAGAAGTGTGAAGGAGCCCTCAGAGTGTGAGAGAAGAAAAGGAAGAGGAAATAAGTGAGCTGAAGGCTCAATCCCTGTTTTCCAAACTGCTATGTATCTGAAATCTCTTAACTTGGAACTGGAGGATTGGATGGGTTTATGTCTGGCCTGACCTCTCTGATATAATAATGCTAACATTTTATTTTATTTTCCCAGGGCGAATGAAAAAATCCTTAGTGGAAAGCAGCAAGAATTACTTTTAAACTGAAGAAAGATACTCTGTGCAAATATCTTTATTTTCTAGTTTAAAGAAAAGTTTTTCCTGATCTGCTAATAGAATAAACTCAAAGCAACTAAATTCTCTGCCTTTGTTTTGTTATCAACACTACCCTGAGAATGAATCATTCCACGAAGTTGTCATTTTTACGCATTCACCATTTACAGGATTTGTTCAAAAATTATTGGTTCTAACTTTTTTAAAAAAAAATATTTATAAAATATAGCAAAACAGCAGCACCTGTCTTCCATTAGCATTATCCATTGACTTGAAATCAGAATCAAATACATACTTACAAGATTACCCCTTCAAAATGTCTATTAGAATGGGAACAGCATGATATGTCTATTAGAATGAGAGTCAACCAAGAGACACATTGGGCACTGTTCAAAGACTCCTTCAAAATGATTTTAAAGTCTCATTTAACTTAACAATATATATCTAACAATATCAATATTATCCTGTTCAGAGCAGCACTAGAGTACCATCAATTCCCAAAATACAAGTTACAGCTGAACAAACAATTAATGGCAACAGTAGCTAGAGCAAGTTGAGACTCCTTCAGCCCAGAGCAACAAAGAATTGCTACTCACTCACGTAAAATAATACAGCCACTTAACTCTTGGAAGCGGAGGGCAAAAGAACTCATAGAATTGTACCTACCAATTCACCATGCTCTCACCATGAGGTCACAACTAAAAAAAGGGAGGAATTTCAGAATGGATGCATCCTCTGTGAATCCCACTCTGATTGGCAGGAAGGATCAAACAACAATAAAGGGTTGGCCTTCATCCAATTTCCAAACACACTATCTGCCAGCAGTAATCTCCCATCCCTGATACATTTGGGTGAAATAACCCTTCACTGGAAAAAAATCAAAGTCCAAAGGGAAGGACTTGGGGCTGCTGGTCCTTACAGCTCTTTGATAACTCACATGCACTCTACTAACAGATCCATTAGGATGATGCCAATTAAAAAGGCCTCTCTAGGGGCCTCGTGTTCCTGTTGTTATGCTCCTCCTTCTGCCACTTCTGCCTGATGGTGAAACGTTTCCCCTTTCCTACTTTTCCTTTTTGTTATTTTAATTGACCCAGAGAATTTTCATGATTTCATGATAGGAAACAGTTCTGTTAAGAGGTTAACAATGCAGCCCTACAAATTCCCTTGTAGCTGTTTATTTAAACAAAAAAGGAGGGGGTGGAGACATCCTTCTTTGAAATTTGAACTTTTTGTCACAAATTCTGTACTGCAAAGAGGGAGAAAAAAACCATTGTAAATCACTTCCAGCTTTATTGAGTGGGTAATGAGACAAGAGGGGGTGCCACTTTCCAAGAGAGAATGTTGGCAACTCTGAAGGTTTAATATTCCAAGGCAGCTCTCCTCGCATAATTTCTTGCCTTCCAGTACCATCCATAAGCCACTAATCAATCAAGTGCACTATCTTACCATTCAGTGAATTGGGACCAACTTACCTGACTAAGTATTCTTAGGTCCATACTTACATAGGTGTGATTCATGCAACCTCCCTGCCTTTTCTACACCAGTGACAGACCTTGGGGTCTCAAATTTCAGAGGTGCTCTGTGTGAAGCCAAAATTTGGTTACCCCCACCTCTCACCTTCCATCCTACATCATAGTTGTGACACCCCCTGTGACACTCCTGCAGGGGGTGAGGGTTTGGGGGGTGGGAGAAGAATCACAAAAAAGTCCAATTTGTGTACAGCTTACACTTGGGATGAATACCTTATTGTGTGCTGGAAAGAGGCATATGTACCCTCACTACACAAAGTGGTCCTTTCGTTTCTCATTGTTGCAATGAGAATTACTGCAAATTCTTTATTATAAGTTCCAGTTGTTATTTATCAACATAGTAATCTTTTGTGGCATTAACACGGGTTATCTCAAAACTGATAAACCATGACTGTTGACATGACACCAGAGCTTTGAAGTGTCTGTGTGGGGAGGGGGGAATGTTCAAAATCCCATTATATAAAGCTATTGTCTTTGAAAAGCAGTAGTCTTCTTGCTGCCTTACGTCTGCCACAGGTGAAATAACGTAAGAATGTTCATTGTTAGAGAGCATTGAGATAAACCATGTTTTGATTTAGGTAAAGGAATGTGATTGCTTCTATAGATATCAAGCACTATAAGTGTGCCCATGATTGCTGTCAATAAGTTCTTGGGCTGAGCAAACTGCTAGCTGAATCTTGAGAGAAAAGGACTGTCTTCATTAAGCATGAAGATAAAAATATCTGTGATTCTTTCCCTAGCAAACTGTTGCTTCCTTTTAGGTAAGTATACTCTCCAGCTCTCTGTAATCAAGGACCACTTTAAACATTTCTTTTTATCTAGATGAGGCAAAGAAAACAGGAAAATGGGTGTTTTACAATGGATTTTAAAATATATGTTTTTGCCACTTTGGGCAAAGTCATCAACAACCTGGAGTTCTCCAGATGTTTTGGACTTCAACTTTGCTCAACCATACCCATCATAGCTGTGCTGGCTGGGGCTGATGGGAGTTGTAGTCCAAAGAGTCTGGGCAGCACCAGGTTGGGGATGGATTTGGTAGCTGATACATTCTCTCTTCCTGGTGCCTGGATCCATGATTAGGAAAATGGGGGTGGAGAAATATGTGCACTAATCTTCAGATTTGGAGGAGGTGGGTAAAGGAAAAAGTAATATATAAACTGGCCCCAAGGAACAATTGATGTATTTATTTCAAAATGCTATATTAGATAATGGGAGAAACCCATTGCATGCATGCGTCACCATACAAAATTGCATTGTAGTCTTGTATTGCAGTTCCCACTATGTATTGTACTGTGATGTAATCCCCATTGTGGGAATTCGCTGGAGCAAATACAAGTTCAGATTGCAGTTAATTGCTCCAAGATCCTTATCAATGAAGTCTGAATCCAATATCATACAAATATTATCGGGCCTTTTTTTTTTACAAATGTGTATTTGTAGCTGTAGTAGCAGCAGCAGCAGCAGCAGCAGCAGCAGCAGCAATATTACACCCCACAGCATCAAATCACATGCCACTTTACAAAGTGACATAGCAAAAAAATAAAAGAGGAATTCCTTGTCACAAGGAGCTTATAGTCTAAACTTTCACTTCAAATTTATCAGCAGAACATTTTCTTTGCCAGAGATATCATTTTTAAATTCTGTGAAATAAAATTTAATCATGCATTTACCACATTTGGATATTGTGCTTCTGTAAAAGGCAACGCATGGGAGAACAGGGGGAAGAAATTCAAGTGCTGTCTCTTTTATAGCATTATGTAAGAAAGTTACATAATGGCCAAAACAGGGAACATTCTGGGATGAG